AAAGCCAGTTCTAATAGGCAGTGAAAACAACGGAGGCTGGGGGTAGAAGCGGGGAGACATTCAGAGGAGTCTGGGGTCTGGAGGTATGGATTATGTCATCTTTGTCCCATGGTCTGCCTATGACTGTGATAATCACTCAACAGATACTTGCTGTGAAGGCTCTACTGTGTGTACCACTGGCATATGTAGACTGGCCTAGTCATGCATTCTGCTTGGGAGGAGGCAGGAGACAGGCTACCACATGTTACCATGCAGAGAAAATAAGAAAAGGGACCAGGGAGTTATCATGGGATCACAGTACACACGATTTAACTTAAAGAAGACTACCCTCCTTCTCCTCCCCCTACTCTGCCTCATCATTTTAACCTAAGTCTGCCCCTGTTCCCACACAAAAGCTCCTCTACAGATCCTGGACCCAGGAGCCTGGGAAGACTGACACTGCCTCTGGAGGCAAGTGCTTGGGTACCTGTCCGGGATCACAGCCCTCTATGCCTGGAGCCAGATGCTGTTTTCAGTCTGTCCTTAGGGAAGGAGCTAAACAGGCTTATTCCCCACCTTCTGAGAATCTGGATAATGTGCCCCGGGGTCCCAAATTTGTCTAAAGACCCTGATCCTTAAGACATATTCAGTTCAGAGAATCTTCTTGGTCTCATGTGTAATCACTATTCCCCCTAGCCTCACTGCACTGCCAAAGTCTCGGGAGTTAATGGCTACAACGTCTCTCCCTAGGCCTGCAGCTTCAGGGGCCAGGGGTCCAACTGAAAGAAATTTTGATATCCCAGAAAATCGTTGTATTTAATATTTCACCTGTTTGCCTGAGGTCGAGTCATTATGGTCTCTTACCAGTCTGCCCTTTTGTGCATCCTGAACCAGAATGTAGAATTCTCAAACAAAATCCTCATCAAATAGAACCCCTATTTGTTCTGGCCAACATCACAAGTAGCACACAGTGCTGGTGCAATATGATGAAATAGGAATATTTCACACTGCTGTGGCTTCCAGAGAACAGAGATATTAAACAGGAAGTGTCGTGGTATTGCCCAACATGGGATTCACTTTCTGCTAAAAGACTCCACACTGCAAGGACATTGCACAAAAAAATCTTTCATGCCAGCATAAAATCCAGAATGAGAATATTCTCAGACAAAAGGCAGGGAGTCACTATTATGAGGTCAGAGAAAGCTATGGGCTGCACAGGCAGACCCAAGCTCTCTGGGAAAACGATCATAACCATGGGTATTAGGGTTAGCCATTAAGACCTGAAGCCCAGTACAATCTGGATCACTCAGACGGCTGGACCAAGCACCATGGGATATCACACAGGAGGGCTGCAGATCCGAAAAAGCAAGTGATGCCATCTCCAGAGCCACATGGGGTCTCACCAGGTCCTCATTAACAAGGAACTAAAGAGATAGCCCAGGAGCTCAGTGTGATTTTCAGAGGTGTTAATGCTGAAGCCAAGTGGATGAGGAGGAAATCTACGGTTCTCCTCAACCCAAGTGTGGGCTCAGTCATTCTCAAGGCTAATCTTTTTCCATGAAGTTCAAAGTTAAAAAGCCCTCCAGGCAATGATTTTACAGATAATTGTGACAAAATTCTAATCCTAATGGGTCATGAGTCTTTAAGATTTACACATCCTTCTCTTAGTGATTCCTCCTCAATAAATCTATCCTAACAAAATAGAGATGTGAACAAAGATGTATGCAGTAAGATATTTATTACAACATTATTATAAAGAAATGCGTGACAGTCATGTGTCACACACACCATTTTTTGTTTTTCACCTCTGGTACGTGAAAAGGGAAATCATGTGCAGCCGACATTCAAAAGTGGTGAGTTGTCACCCTCCCACCACAGGAAGCCTCTCTGCTAAGGCACCTTCACTCCATGGTTGTGCACAACTCCCAAGGCAGCTGAGTCCAAAGCTGTACCTTGTTCACTGCTAAACCAAAAGTCCACCCACTCAGACATTTACCTTTTGTTTTGGATTGAGATCGCATACATACCTTAGCATGCGGTGTGTTCAGAGGCTTTTCCGGCACGCTTACTCCTCACTACCACCTGAGAACAATTATAAGCCCATAATCCCTTACCTATAATTACAAAATAAAACATCTCTGAAGAAACAATAGTTTTTTCATAACTTTGACCCAAAATCTGGCCTGACCCGTCATGATCATATTTATACTACTTATCTCACTTAGTGTGAATATTCATACATTTAGCTACAGAAATATTGATGGGTTTGATGACAGGGCACCGCCCTCAATCTCACTGGGGTATTCCTTTATATATCATAAAGGCACAATATTCCCTTTCTAAAACGTGAAAAATTCTGAATTCCAAAACACATCCATCCCAAAAGGTTTCAAATAAGTGGTTAGGGACCTGTAGGATTATCCCTGTAGCCTGAGAGAAGTGAAGAGACTTGTTAGGGCTCTTGATCACTCTGAGGTCTTTGCTATCCAAACTATTCTATACTGCCCTGGAGGCTCTTGCAGAGAGCAGCATGTTCTCTGGATAACAGCCCCTACCTGTTTGTTTCCCTGTGCTCTCCACTCTGGTCACTCCTCAGATATGCTGATAAGCTGTGCCTTTTTTCCCAGGGAGACGCCAGAACGTGCTACCATGGTGGCAAAACCCATGAACAGGATATGGCCCAAAGAGCCCAGGCCTTGGGCTCATCAGCTCCACCTAGAACTCAGCTGTCATGTGCTTTCCTTCATCAAATTTCAGTCTCAGACTCTGTGAGCTGAAAGGAAAGACAGACTTACTTAGAGAAGGGCAGGATGGAATTTAGGGAGCCTAGAGAATCATGGTATTCAGACCACAAAAGACAGAAAACAGAGTTATGGGCTTCTGGTTGAGGAGTTCAACAGTACCCAATTTCCCCTCCGAGCTCCCTCTATGAACAAAAATCTGAAAGAGAGCCTCTGATTTCACCAACAGCTCATCATCCTTGCACCCCTATTTCAACCACCCCCTTCTCATTCTGGACCCTCTTCAGGATACAGATGTGCATCACTCTCTGCCTCTGTCTCTCAACAGCTCTCAACGTCTCTGTCCCTCTGCATCTGTCTCCTTGCTCTTTTGGTCAGTTTTGCCCCACGTCTGTGTCTCTTGTCCTTGTCTCTGTCTACCTCACTCAGAATTCCTTTCTGAGGGAACAGAGGTGCCAGTTGTACTTTACCAGGTGACCTCTCCTTGTCAACAATAACAAACAATGTGCTAAAGGGGCAGTAGGAGGAAGAGACTTGGTTTCACGTAACAGGAAGCTTGGGGTTTCCGGTTTGGTCTGTTGCGGCTCTTCTCTCATCCTGCCCATTTCCTTGTCACCACACCACGTTGTACTTCCACCTGGCACACACCCCTCCCACCACACTCAGGCAAGCAGAAGGAACGTGTTGATCTCTCCCTTCACCAAAAGGAACTACTGGTTAATGGTTAAAGCTGGAATCAGGCAGACGCAGATTTGAATCCCAGATCCTCCATTAACTCACTGTATGCTTTGCACTATCTAACCTCTCTGAGCCTGTTAATTCACTTGTAAAATGGGGAAATGATAGTTCCTACTTCAAGAAGTTACTAAAAGGATTAACTAAGATAATGCATTCAAAGTGTTTGGAATAGCCCCTAACACATTCAATTTCAACAAATATTTGAAGATTAATTCCTCTAGTGGAGCACCGGCCCATGCTCACTTGCCAAACCTTTGCTCAAAGACCTGATACCCAAACTCTCAGCTCTCTCGGAAGACTGGCCCTCTCCTGGGGCCAGTCACCTCTCCTTGAAGAAACTTTTCTTGGTAACACTCTCTCCCACCACAGTAGGACCCTTCCCAGTGCTTCATGCTCATGTCATCTCAGACAATGGCCCACTTTGTGGGATAACTCCACATGCTGGGCAAGGATAGGGGAGGATGCTCCCCACACACAAGGAGTCTTCGTGGGCACACAGGAGTGTAGTGGGAAAGCAGCTACTAGAAGGACTCTCTAGAGTGGTCCTTCTCCAAGGAGAAACCACTCTTCTTCTCCAGCAAAACACCAGGTTGAGATCTCTGGATGGAGACGCAAGTGAAAGCCACACATAGATTAGGGCCATAAAGGAAGAGTACCCACTAGATACAAAGCAGCCTTGGAAAGGAAGTAGAGGATGAAGAAAAATTTCCTTAAATTTAGCTGGGTAATTTTGGCTTCCTGAAAGTTCTCTCCAGTTACTAAGGCAACATTATCCCAATTCGATTCTTATCCTCCACATTGTCACCACTCAGCATGGCACCCTCCTACACACACCTGGTTCTCACTGCAACTGTAACCCACTCATTAATAATGAGTTTCAACCTAGGCTGCACATGAGAATTGCCTGGGGAGCTTTTAGAAATCCTGATGCCCAGGCATACTCCAGACCAATTAAACCAGAATTTCTGGGAGTAGGATCCAAGTACCAGTAATTTTTAAAGCTTCCAGGTAATTCCAAAGTATGGCTGAGGTTGAGCGCCACTGCTTTGTTCTCAGTTTAAGTCCTGATCTATGCTTCTCCCATGTCCTTCAAGACCCCAATCCAACCTCACAAAGAAGTCATCTGCAACTGACAAGACAGCATAGCAAATTGCTTTAAGGAGGAAAGGCCTGATACTGTTTCCTTAAAGAACTCAGACCAAGAACTACACACACACACACACACACACACACACACACACACACACACACACACACACACACACACACACACACACACACACACACACACACACACACACACACACACACATACAGACATATACAAACACACCCTAATGGATACCTGCATCTACCTCCCCTAAAGCAGGAGAATGAATAGGTGACTAAAGAGTATGGACTCAGGTGGTGGGTACAGTGAGGCGATGAAAGCGACTGCCCTGTCCCCACCCAAGGCCCCAACACCCGGCAGGACCTCTATGACCTCATGCTGTAGTAGGTCAGAGTCCAGGGCCTGGGGCCTCACCTCCATGGGCAGCTTGGGGTTTCTGCAGCAGCTACTGCCCTGCCTAACCCCTCCCACACTCCATCATGTTGGTTGGTACCCCTCACCTGCTGACACTGGATGAAGCTGATGCTACCTGGACCCTCATCAAAGATAAGGTAGGTAAGTAAAGAGGGCTAAAGAGGAAGTAACAAAGTGGGACCTAGATGGGTCTGAGCAGTTTATAAGTTGGAAGGAGTTGGAAGCCTAAAGACAATAATAACTAACATTTACTCAGTGCTGGCTTATGTGTGAGGCACTGCATTAAGTGCTTTGCACAGAGTGTCCAATTTAATTACAATTGCAAAAACAGTAAGAAAGGTTCCTTGAAAGACAATGGATAGGGAGCTATGAGAGCAGAAAAGAGAAGTGCTAGGTCAGGGGTAGACTTAGGTCAGGAAGGCTTCCTGGAGTGAGTACATTCTAGCTTGGCATATAGGAGTTATTCACATGGAGGGAAGAGGAATACCTGGCACATAAAGGGTGCTTAATAAACACCTAATGAGCAAGGGGCGGGGTGTGTGTGTGAGTGAACAGTGTACTAGTTAAAGGCAGAATATATGCAAAAGCCAAGAGAGAAAGAAAGAAAAATGTAAATTAGTGAACTACAAATAGTCCTCCAGAACAGGGTTCAAAGAATTAGTGGTGAAAATGAGGAAGAAGAGGTATAGGGGCTGACGGTGAAAGGCCTTTTACGTTTTCTAAAGAACCTGAACTTTACCTTTGACCTCTTCACAGATATTCCCTCCAGCTTAACTTCCACAGAATGAGAAATTTGGGTTTTGAGCCAAATATACAGATTTCCAGGAGCAGGCAGATCTCAGCTCTGAGTTGCTGGTGTCCAGAAAATCCCACAAAATCTAGATGGACACTAATTTCTGATATTAGAGAATTTAGGGATCAGGTTCTGGTCAGGCTATCTGAAGGAGAGTGAATTTAAAGCATTTTCAGAAAGCAGCCCACCAAGTTTAAAACAATCATCTTAAAGCAGTGCCTACCAAACTCAAAGCAGCCTTAATGGCACGTAGCTCCCATCTGCAATGGAGTAGCAGCTCACCACAAAGGTCAGCTTCCTAAGGAAGCAGAAAGAGAAGAGCCAAGGTCCTCCCAAGAATGAGAGCAACTAGTTTCAGCAGTGTTAGAGGTTGGTCCTGGACTAGATCAATCAGAATTAGGGTGAAGTAAATGGGGTCTTTAACTATTAAAAAGCTACACCATCTCTGAGTATCAGAAAAACTCCCTGTCCTATTTAAATGGAAAATTGCCAGGAAAGTCAGGGTAGGGACATTCAGGATAAATCACTGGTAGTATGTCACAAGTTCAAGAAGTAGGATACCTTTGAGTAACCTGGTTTCCTCTTCCAGAACTGCTGATTTACTGTAGAAAAACAGAATGCGGTTGAAGGGCTCCCTATTCAGAATTCAAACCCACCAAGGTACCTCCAGGAAGATAATCTTCCACCATCACTTTCCTGGGCTGCCCCGAGGAAAGCTGAATTTGCAGGCCTCTAAGTCCTCAGAAATTCTACCCAGAAGTGCAGTGGAAGCAGGTCGTGGTCTCAAATGGTGACTGCCAAGAACACGTTCACCCTAGCATAGAGCTGAGTGCTTTATTTTTCCTGCTTTAGGATAACCACTGGGGCCCTCAGGGTAAGAATAAGGGCCTAATAAACTTCCATGGCAAATTCATGTCTATATTCTGAAACAGAGTTTCCAGCTTAATCACCTTTTAGCAGAAATTTAGACCACAAGAAACATCACACTCCTGTTAGAGGGACCTCTCCTGGAGACATTCCAATTTGTCTCATTTGTACAGAATCCTAGGCACCAAAGGAGCAGCTAGACTGGGATTCTGAGGTTATATTTGATGATTATGCTTTCACTGTCATGAGGCAGAGCATTCTATACAAAAATGCTAACCCACCATTGCTCTGCTCTCACCCCTGGAAATCCAACTGTTCTTCTCAGGGTCCTGTTCTTCAGACCTATGCCCCCACCCAAAAGTTAAATGTCCCACATCTTAGTGAAACAAAGGAGAAGGAATGATAGGAAATTCTTCCATGCAGATCAACAAAGAGCACCAGTTATTTCCTTGGCTAGGTGACAAGACAGTAGTGACAAGCTATCTCAGCTTGTGTAAAGTCCAGACACAACTAGCTACGCCCCCCCTTACCCTGGGGGGCAGCACTTCCAAAACAGCTTTACGTAGAAAAAAGCAGATCAATCTTAAGGGACCATTGGTGAATTCTACAAGAAAGCCAGTCAAGTGGGCAATACCATCAGCAGTGGCACAGACATATGGGATTGGGGGGTCTGGCGGAGGGAAGTAGGGCACACAGCATTTTAAGAATAGGACTCTAACATGAAAGGGGCCCAAAGAGGGAACTGTGTATGCTCCTTAGCCAACAATATCTTGGATGAGTAAGTACAATTACTGGAGAGGATCTTACAGGGCTTCCCAGTTGGTCATGAAATTAAATTTTCCAGAACTGGGTTACCAAGCACAAAAAGGCCAGAAGGACAAAACCAAGAGGAACTGTAATCTATGAAAGCCTACTGGAACTAGCATTACAAAGATGAGGCCTCAAATCCCTAAAAGAACTATCCTCTGAAGCTCGGGCAGAAGGTGTATTCTAAGATGTTACAGACGCGGTGTGGACTTCCAAACCTATTTCTGTGTAACCACTCTTGGTTAATGACATCACCCATGTAACCCTAATCCTTGAGGATGCCTTTTCCCACACCCCTTAAGTGACCGAGTTCTAATAATTCTATAACCTAAATACCTTCCCCCATTATTTTAGTTCAGGGCCTCACCATGTCTTGCCTGGAATTTTACAATACTCTTAACTGACTTTTTCTATCTCTCTTTATTTTATGCCTTCCTATTCAAAATTAACTTTCTAAAATGCCTATCTGAATTGTGCCCCTCCTAACCAGAGCCCTTCAAGTGGCTTCCCACTGTCCTCAGGATAAAAGTCCCATCACTTAGCGCACACACAAGGCCTTGAATAATCAAGCTCCTATGTGCTTGTCCCTCTCCACACCCTACACTTAAGTAATATGAAAGTATACCTTCCTGACTATGCCCCTCTTAGTTTGTAAGTTCAAGTTTTTTCACTGGCTGTTCCCTCTGCCTGGACTGACCATTCTCCTACCTGGCTAATTCCTTCACAGTTAAAGCATTACCACCTAGAAACTATCCTTGATCCTCTTCTATCAAAGACAAAAGCTGTTAAATCACATCTCATCTGCTCCACAGCTTGCTCTCTGAGCTATATCAGGACAAGAACAAAGTCTCATTTTTTAATGCATTCCCAGTATCTAGCAGAGTCTGGCCCATAGTAGAGATTCAGGTTTTGCTAGAGGGGAGAACTGGGAGACAGGCAGGAAGCACAACAGTTTGAGCACAGTGTGCAGTGACAGTGGGAGGGTCAAGCTAGAGTAAGCTACTAGGTAACTCCTAACTCTGACCCTAACTCAGTCCCTGACCTATAAACTGGCCACCTGCAGGTTACAGAGGAGCGCTTTGGGCCCAATGTAGTGGCAGTACCTTTCCTGTCGGATGCAGCCTGCTTTGACCTACTGGGTGTGCTAGTGAAACAGTCCCGCCCAGCCCACACCCGCCTGGCTCTGCCAGGTCGGCAGGGCCGGCGGGCACTACAACCAGTGGGGCCACTACCGAACCTCCTGGAGCAGGCAGGCTCTGAAGGTGCCTTTGCCCACTGCACTAGAGAATACTCACCAAATGGCCGGGCAGAGACAGCCTATGAGGAAATGCGACTGTTGGATGGGCAGCCCTGCCGGATCCGCTTACATATGGGTGGCCTGCGCAAGAAGGTGGCCTTCCTGCTGCTGCCACCAGGGCAGGTGAGCTTACAGCAGACTCTTCCCTGGCTCCGAAGCACCCACAGCATCTACGTCATATACCAGGTCTTCTCCTGTTCCTGGCTACAGCTGGGGCTGCTGCCTACAGCCCGGGAGCCCCAACTGCTCTGGTTACAGCGGTCACTGCCTATTGCCTTCTCCTGCCTCAAGTTTTCACTGCAGCCCAAGGGAGTGCTGGGACCACAGAAGCCCCTGATCAAAGACCCACTGCCCCATGGGGCCAGTTGGGTCAGACCCGACCTCAGCATCATGCCACCTCCAGCCCCCACGTCAGCCCCTGCTAATGTCCCCGAAGCTGCTGATGTGCCCTCATCTGGCCCAGCCCCACCTTCACCACCTCCCCAGGAAGGACCAGAGGGCAGACCACCCAGATTCTCCTACAAGGGCCGAAACCCCTTCCGAAGGGGGCCCCAGATGCTGTCAGGTACTGCTAGGGAAAATGAAGAAGAGAGGGATGCGATAAGGTGGAGGGAAAGGGCGTGGGGTGTAGAGCCCAGGAGTGTGTGGGGCACCCATAACTCCACACTGGACCCTGGTGAGGGGGATGGAGTGAGGGAGCCAGGGGAGGGCGAGATGGAAGCGTGGTCCTGGTGAGGGGGTGGTACAGCACAGAAGACCAGAGGGAGGGACCAGGGCGGCAGAAAGACAAGGGCATGAGTCAAGCTGTGGCTATCCCCAACCCTGGCAGAGAACTGGCTCTTCAGCCCCCGAAGCCCCGCACCAGGAACCCAGGGTGGGGGCCCTGGGGACCCCGAGCGGCACTCCATGTCCCTGCCCCTGCTGCAGGGTCTGTCCTCGGAGTTTGACAGCGACGACGAATGAAGCTGAGGCGAGAGATGCAGGGGGCCAGGCCCCCAAGATCTGACATAGGGATACTGGTCCCCAATAAACATCAGCTGCTGCTCCCCCAAACCATCCTGGGCCCATGGTGCTTCTTCCTGTAGGAGTCTGGAGGAGGAAAGTCCCAACGTTTTTCCCCAGGCTTCATGTCCCCTCACCCTCTAAAGGCATAAGAAGTACCTCGAAAACTTGGCATTGTGTCCTCACCAGAGAGAAAACACCCTGACCACTTCCCCATCCATGTACAACTTTCTTGGGGCCCCAGCCCTACAGAAAAAGGGTGGGAAAGAAGAATGAGCACAGAATAGAGATTTCCCTTTTATACATATTGCAACAAGTTCTCCAGAAAACATTCATCGGAAATAAATTAAAAAGTCCTCTTGCCACTGCCTCCAAACATAAAAAGGAGCCTACACCCTGGCCCCAGCACAGGCCACTCAAGGCCCTGATTGTCCATGGAAGAAAGTTAAGGATTGAGGGGCCCAAAGCCTGAGATGGGAGGGCCAGATCCCTCCTCTGAAGTATCCAACAAGAAAGGCGAGGTGACAGCATGGGCCTGGGAGATGGCAGCCAACTCCTTGAGAAACTCAGGGAAAATGACTGCACAGTAGACAGCATTCTTGACTCGCAGAGCCTCACCCTGGTGGTCAGGGGCCCCACCCCGGGGGGGTAGGACCGGTGTTGATGCCCCAGGGGAGCCCCCACCTAGGCCAAGTCCTGTGCCGTCTCTCCCAGGCTGAAGAACCATCTGTGCCGCCTGCCGAGCCCTGGTTGGACTGTGTGCATGCCGCAGGAGCAACTCCCCCAAGGACGGCCTCCGGCTCTTCACTGGGAACAAACAGGAGTGTCGTGAAGCTGCTGGCGTCAGGCAAAGTTCCCTGGCCTGGGAGAGGAGATTCCCCTCCCCACGCACCCCCACTCCCCCAAGGGCATGGACCTCTCCACTAGAACTCTTAACACCAAAGTGCTGCCTGCCCAGCCTCCTTCCCTCTACGCAACCTCCCCACCAGCCAACCATCATGCTCAGTCTTTAGGCAGTCAACCCTTCAGATACTTCATTCCCAGACAAGACCCCTCCCTTCTCCAGGCCCCTTCACCTTGAGGGGTTCTCTTACTGCGCCTCCCTTTCCAATCACTCTTCTACCATCACCAAGCTCTTTCTCCTCAGTCTGTAACATGCCCTTATTCTTGCTGCCCAGTACCCTCCTGTACTAGATGGGTCAATCCTCTAGACATTTGCTCCTTCCCCGCCTATCTGTAACACCTCACCCACACCCCTGCTCCTTCAATACCCACAGGTGCTACATATGCAGTCATAGTTCAGTGACTGTATCAGATCTGTCACACACCACTGTCCCTCCAAGTTCTGCTCTCCTGTGCCACCACTTGGCCTTCCACCAATCCCTCTCCTACATCCACCAAAGCCACCCTCCCACTGGTTGTGGCCAGACAACTTCATGTCAGCTTAGACTCAAATGAACCATTTAAAATACTGCCTTGTCTTCTCTAATTTCCTTCCTCCTAGATTGCTGGCTCTGGATCTGTTCTTAGCCCTGTCCAGGACCTAGGGCCTAGACTCTAGGGATCTAGTCTCTAGATCATGATACCATTCCCATTCTCGACCTCTAATAATGGCTACAGAGATATGCTAAACAGATATATTAGATTTGGCGTTCAGAGCCCTTTACAACCAGGTTCACACACTTCCTCGCACCTCTTCTAGAAACTCTACACACTTCCTCCCACCTCTTCTAGAAACTCTCCCTGCTTTGGCATCCACACCTATGTGCTCCTCCTGGAACCCTCCAGGCTCCTTTCATGACTCTGTAGCCCCTTCTGCCTTAATTTTGCTTTCCTCAATGTTTTCATCCTTGGCCTAATTTCCCCATCCCTACCTCTCCTCTTATTTGCCCTCCACTAACTTCCCATTTTACTGCTCTATCACATTGCATTTTAATAACTTGTTCTCATGTCTTCTACCTCATACATTAATCTGTGAGTTTAAGGGCTTGGACTCTGTCTTATTTACTTCTATATCCCTGGGCCCTCCACAGTGAACATAGTACCAGGACTGTGGAAGCAAGAAATAATTCCTGGTACTGGACCATGAGGAAATCATGCTAAGGAACTTCAGCTGGGCCTTCACAGCTATCTAATAACCCTTCTGGTACTCTCTTCCCAACCTATACACTTTCCTCCTTAAGCCCCCATCTCACCTCTGCTCTCTTGCTCAGCATATTATTTTGCCTCCTACTTCAATTAGCAAATAAAGGATGACTTCAACTCCCTAAAATTTCCCTCCACACCTCAAAACTCCACTTGTACATAGCATTTCCTCCTTTGATCTCTCCTCATTTGCCTCAAAGGGGGGAAAAAACTTTCCTGTGCTCTGGATCCCACTTACTTCCACCACCTTTGGGACCTTGCTCCCTCAGTTATGACAATCCTCTAGTCACTATCTAGACTATCAGCTTTTTGAAAGCAAAGATCACATCTTGTACCTCCCTGAGTCCCCTGTATCACAGCCAACACCTAGCACATACGGCAAGCACTCAGATACTTGTTGATGAAAGATCTAAATTTAGAATATCATGGTCACATTTAACTCTTCCTTCTTCCTTATACCCCACAACCACTCACCAAACTCTGCCAGTACTTCCTTCCCATTTCCACCTTTTCAAATTCTTCCTTTCTATTTCCACTATTCTAATTCAAGCCTCACAGGTCACATCTGCATTATGACATAAGCCTCCCAATTGCTCTTCTGACTTCATTTTCTCCTAGCTCCAGTGCAACTAGCACATGAACTAACACACTTATCTCTCCATTCCCAGATCTAAGAACCTCCAATGGTTTCGCACTGCCTAAAAGTTTACAACCTCTGCCTAGCCCAACTTCTACGCTGAGAACCTTCTGCTCTGACCAAATCTTTCCAACCTTACTACCACCTGTTCCACCGACTTCCAAATCCCCTGCTCCAACTAAACAGTTCATGCTGACCCCTGAACAAAAGAATAAAGCCATCCCACTCCTTTGCCTACCCAAGTCCTACCCATCTCTCAAGGCCCACGTCAAATGCCATGTCCTTTACCAAGCTTTAACAATATCTCAAGCTAGAGACTCTTCTGTCCCCTTGCCCGTCCCCAACTTCTAGAGTAGTTTTTGCTGGTACTGTTGGTTTGGCTCTCAGTGGATAGAACTATGTTTTTCCTCTGCCCAGAAACCTGAGGACAAAATCAAGACTCTACTCTCTGCAACTCCCTAGTTCCCGGCGCAAGGCTTCAACCTGAATAAGAAACTCAGTTAACCTGAGCTAATCAGTTGCCTAGGGAGGACAGGGAGGTGGTGGCAGGGTAAGCCTCACCTAGGGAATCAGATCGGCGGGGGGCAGATCCTGCCGCAGGGCCCTCAGTCCAGTCCAACTTGCCACGGGCAATGAGGTACTTCTTGGCTTTGGATAGCAGTGCTGGGAAGTCCTCCTGGGAGGCTGCAAAGCTCTCAATCTTATTCTTCACAGAGCCCAGCACCTATGAAGCACAACTTCATGACATTTCTGGGTGGCTCTAGACTGACATAGTCCTTTCTAGCCCCGCTAGGCCTATTCCCAGCCCCCCCAGGGCCACTCCAGCTGTGGGCCTGGCCCACCATGGAGCCTGGACGCACCCATGCATGCATGCATCGCACACCTGCAGCAGGGACTTGACACTGGGCTGGAAGACCATGTTGGTGTTGAGCAGGAAAGAGCGGAGCAGGGGCTGGGGGTGGCAGGCCAGCTGGGCCACCAGCCCCGTCAGCAGG